CTGCTGAGGACTGGATTTACAGTTTTTACCTTATGGCATACAAACATAAATAAAAATTGACTGCATAAGGCTTATAACTTCTAACATCCCAACAGAGCCTGTGAGAAGTGTATTGGTGATTTAAAAGTACATATAGCAATAATACATCCCTCTTACTATGCTAGAATTGATAATATTTTTGCTAAAAAAGTAAACACACGTATTTGTCTACCCATATAAATTTTAAAAAACAAAGTTTGGATAGAATTCCACATGGGGAAGGTCAATGAAAAGATCAGCATCTAAAAATATGGGCCATATCAAACAGCCTCATTGGTTATGGAAGTCTTTATAATGTAACTTCTAAAGATTCAGAGTATGTGCTTAAGAAGCTTGCTTCAAAATTTACTGAGAGTCCTTCTGCTGTTTTTCAAGCCCTGTATTAGGGAAAAAAGGGAGTGTACTATCCAGGAAACACTAGCAACAATCACACTACTCAGCCTTCCATTATGGAAGCCAACCGCAGTGCCGACTTTAAGATAGCAGTAGAGCAGCAGTCCATTGCATGGTGACAGCCTTAATAATACCACAGAAACCCGAATTCTTTTGCATATCTGAATTCAAAGAAAAGCATATGATCCAGAATATTACAAACACCTAAGCACTCCATAATTTGCAATTTCATTGCTGCTTTCCCCTTTCTTCTCCTTGTTTCAACTTTTTTACAAAAAATACTAAAATAAAACAGATGTATTTGTAAATGCCTTTGAAACAGACTTTGGTAATTACTCTGCCTCATGTTTCAGCTAGAGAGCTTCTATTGAAAAAGTAAATCACTACAGTTAAATAAAAGAGGCAATAGAGCACACATAAAAGAACTAAATAGCTACAGAAGTTTTTAACTGGTATCTGAGAGCAATATTTAACCAAAGTATAATTTTAGTAGCTGAATGCAGCATTTAAGTGAAGACCAGTTTTAGTAATAAAAGTGGTTACGTGCCTAAATCATACTGGTTACCTTGAGATAAAAAGCTCTTACATGAACACTATACATAAGCTATTATTCCAGTACTTTAAGAAATTGATTATGTTACAGAGTAGCTTAACAGGAGCTTTAATACTTTGAAATTATTAAGAAGGTAAAATATAAACTCAGAGCATTATTTGAGTTTTCTGGCATGCCATCTTCCATCAGCTTGAAGCATAATACAGAAACTTCAGTTACTTCACATCCATTTGCATGAATTATGTCAACGCACAACCACAGCCGTCACAAATCCCATGTCTTTAGGAGCCACCATTAAAGTTTTGGTGAGCTTGATCAACTTTAAGTGCAAATTGCTGTTGTGTATCTTTAGAGCGATGGCAATCTCTCATGGAGTGCTGGGATGCGTTGCTGTCTGACAGTGAGATGATGGAAAGGAATGCATGTGGCTTCCTCTCTTCATTTCCATTCCTAAAACTTTGGTTGGTAGTGTACATTCTGCTTAAAGTGGACAGGTAATAATTTTTGATTGTTAAATATTGTCCAAGAGTTTCAAAGCAATGCATGCATTTTTGTGACCTTGTCTACTATTTTTGGAGCATTAATTACACATTTTGAACACTACTCTCATCTGAGGATGTGATCCACCAACCTGAATGTGGGAGACTCTTGGACATTTGCAAACATTGGAACAATGACTCGATAAATTATTTAAACTTGGGCTTCAAATTATGGGACGGAGAACATACTTGTTTTGTATCAAACAATAAAATACAGCTTTCACCGAAAAGAAAATCCCAAAATTTCTGTAAGTCAGTGGAAAAAATAGTTTATTGCAATTTCTTTTGCACATTAACATGAAACATTTATACATATATATTCTGTGCTGATAAGGTATACTAGATATAGACAATTTTTATACACAAAGTAATTGCACTATCCTATTTTATAATGCAAATATTCAGAAATTATCAGCCAGATAAGAACAGATATTATAAACATAAAAATGCACTGTATGTTGAAGTTATGGAAGGTCTATGCATCTGAAACCTTGTCCACTTTTACTAACTGTATCAGCTGATAAAAGACACTATGTCCTCTTACAAGCTTTACAACCCTTAATTATGCCATGATGCCTAGAATATTATCAGGTCCTCCCAAGGAATAAAATAAGATCATTTCTGAAAATTAGAAAGACCAAAGCAAAAGGCAACCATGACAACCATGTCCCAGCAGTATGCCTTTCAATTCTGGGGGCTCCATCAGAAAAGAATCAAAGCACTACAGGTGGTCTAAAATTGTCCAGCAATCTATTATTAACATGACAACCTAATTTAGTTAATATAAATCAATAAGAAATACATTGCGAGTGAACAGCATTCAGTAGAAGTACATTGGCACATGCTTCAAATGGCAGTATCAGACAAAGAATTGCCCCCTTTCAATATAGAAGATGTTTACATAGTGTTTACAAAGGGAAAATGCAGGATATCAAAAGAGGAACCTTTTTCTAACCAGGAATTTACAGGGCATCAAGTGTTATTCACAAAATGAATGGGAAGCACAGTAATAGCAAAACTAAATCTGATAAGCAACATTTACACAATAATTTTCATAATGCTGCTTTAGGTATTATTTTTAAAAATAGTTCTTTAAGTTCATTGTTCTGCCCAACAACTGAGATACCTATCTTTCCAGAAATGTCACTGATTCATGTAACCACTGTACTTCAGAGATGAAGATGAAGATGTAAAGTGTCAGATTGAAGTGGTTAGTTGTGGCGTGCATATTACAAAATTTTATTCAATATTATCTTGGTGGTAGGAAGGGCCACATGACTGATGTGCAAAAATGCATATCAAAAAAGGAAAGCTTGAAATACATGCTCATAGCAGAGATATAACAATACCAAACATTAAGGAAAAAAAAATAGCAAGCGAGCCTGGGAAAAATGGTGAGTATGATTTCAAGAGTAGGGCAAGAGACAGTGGTACTGCAGATGGGAATGGGAGCTATGATGTGAAATAACATTCATAACTCAACCTTACTGCCTGGCACCCTATTTGGAGACAGTATTGCACCCTATCCAGCGTCCTCTTCCTCTTCCCTCAGCTCAGAAAGCATCTTGCTTTGTTTCCTTGAGTGCATGCAAGTAGAATTTGAGAAGTAAGGGATTTTCTTTGAAGCAACAACATGGTGGGTCAATGCAGTGACAAAATACATTTTATAACTTGCAACCAATATCAGCAAATAATAAAAATAATAAAACACAGCATAGGTAATGCACGTATTTCTTTCACATGTGTTGTATGCAGGAACGTAACAATTCCTACATTCTCTGATGAACTACTAGCTCTGACTGAGATACTTTAACTTGTTCCCATCAGTAATGTGGGGACAGGGCAGAAGAGAAAGATATTTGGAATTGGGGAATGATAAAAATGGCAGTCAGGCATCTGAGGCTCTCTGCAACCTTTATTTTTTTACAAATCTGTTTCTGAAGAGAGAAGCTGCAGCTGAACTTCTGTTAAAATAATAACGATAGTAATAATTAATCTTATAATACGCAAACAAGCGGATGCAAAATGAGTAATTGGTCACAGTTGCTTTTGTTCTATGTATATTCCTGATGCGATTCTAATTTTTGCTGTAATGGTATCATGGAAGAGATCGCTTAAGTGGAAAAAAGTAAAGGAGCAGCACCCCAAACCAACACTGATTCTTGTAAATCAGGTCTTTCTCAGAAGCAACTACTGCTCATGGTTACTGATATTAGAGGTGCCAACTTAGGAACCAAGTCTGAGGTATGCTGAGCTGCTCCAACCCTACCATTTTCTACAGGCCTCACAGAGAGACAGCCTATTTTAAGCCTTGGTTTCACATCTCTATGCCAGCTGTAAGTATTTTGTCCTCTTTCCTTACCATATATTAATTACTGGGCTTCAGGGTAAAATATTATGCTGATAGATTTGCAAATGCTGAGCTAATCACTCTCTAAGGGATGTAAAAAAAAGGAGAATGCATCACTAGTGTGAATCTATCCTAGTTTTAAAGATATTGGAGGTAGAAAACTTCACAGTAAAAGAATAATCAGCAGAAATATCTTCAGGATGATTTAAGGAATATTTTCATGTTTACTTCTATAAGCCACTTCTTGCAATATTCTGGAGTGACGTTTCAGGATATTTGCCATAGTTTCTGTATACATGTTAACATGCCAGATTTATTGTTATGATTGGCACTGCACATGATAATACATTAGCACTTGTATGTGTTTGAAAGGTCAGAGAGAATAAGATTCTGAAAAGAAAACCAAAACTACACCCTTGCCTAAAGCTAAACAATTACTCTAAGGTAATCAAACATAAAAAGTTGCTTATCTGGTTTCCGCTTTTGGCTTACAACTATCATGTACAGCCTATAAAGTGCCAGAAATAACATGAAGAGTACCTTCACAAGACAAAGAGAAACTGCAAACAGTTCAGAAAATCTTAAAGGATAAAGCTCAGTGCATCTTTTTGTGTATGGACAGATGAAATTGTGCAGGGAGTGAAAAAGAATTAAAAGATTAGAGGATTATATTCTTTCACTTTTCAAAATCACCTCTGACCAAATGATTATCAGTTCCAGTCACCACATGAGTATATCTTTCTAGTCTTCTATTCTCCCAAACCTACTACAATTTAGGATACCTGTGATTGGAGAAGTCCTCCTATCTATAAGAATTACATGTATATCTGAATTTCAGAATTAACAAAAACTAACAAAAATTAGAGAGACTTTTTGGGTGTGCTTAAACTGTGAGTCTTAAGTGCTCCTGAAAATCAGGCTGACAGTATTTTTGTGTCAGGTTTATTCCTCCCCCATGTCCCCATCTACAAAGCTCGATTACTAGATAATAGTATCAGCAAGTACCTCTCAGGACTGCTGTGAGGAGTAACAAAACCAACTGTTGTGCAAGATCTCTAAAAGGAAATTGCAATATTTAAAATTCTAAACTATCTGAACCCTATATTCATATTAAACACGTGTGAGGATGAAACAAGGAAAACACCCACCTGACTCAGTACCCCTCTGAAATTTTACATTTAAAATTACATTGTGCCCTGCTACAAATGATAGGATAGAATTTATAATACAGAAAAAAAGTGGAAGGTGTTTAATTAAAATATATTTTAAATACAACTATAGATTTGAAAGAACGATAGTCATGTGAAATTATAGTTAATCTTGATATAGAATAAAAATAGGAAAGTATTATCAGAAGTGGCCCCCAGAATATTATTGTGAGTAATATATACTAAAATAGACTTCAGCAGAGTTAAAGTACATGCTCTCTCCTGAAGTTTAATACGAGGGGTTACTGGGAGTTACCATTAAAAAGTCAGTATTCATATACTTGGGTACCAGTGGTAATAAATCCGGATTAGATCTCCTAAAGAACCCAAACAGTTTAAGAGCCTAAATTTCATTTTCAGGAGGACATGAATATTCAGACGCGTAATTAATTTCCTGTGACTTACAGGTATTATTTCAGCCAAGGTAACTGATGACTTTCATTACTTTAGTTAAGTGTATTTTTAAGATTAAATACATTAGCTTAAAACTCTGTCTTTCTGTATTACTTCAGGGCAAAATTTGAGCTATGTAAATTACTTTTACCCTTTATTTCTCCCTGTTGGCAATGGGTGGAATGTATGCATCTGCTCAGCTATGGCAAATCAGCTGGCATACTGTTACCTGATTAAGTGTCTAAGTTTGTAGCACGCTTATGAGTCTAGATCTCATTGCCTTTTAATGAGATTTTGGTTAATACATGCCCAGACTTCTGAAATTGAGGCATAAGCTTAAAGACCACTCAGTGCTTGAAGAGCTTTACCCTACATCATTTTGAGAAGAGGATTTAGGCTCATATGTCATTTAGAAGAAATAGTTTTCACCCCGTATATTTCTAAAGCAAGACCTCTATTGTGCAACAGACTCCGAACAAGGAGATCCATCTGGGCTTAACAGACCACCATATACATCAGGTGTGAACCTGCCTGCAGGTAGTTGCTAGACTGTTTCCTAAATATTTGAAGGCACATTTATTCACTCACTGTAAGAAAGCAAATGGTGAATTTTGAAGTGCTGATAACCAGACATGTCAGCTAAACAGAAACGGACGTTATATTGCAAAATCTAGTACAGTGGAGAAATCTGTAAGAAGAGGGAGGTATAAATATTTAAACACTTGGCATTCTCTCAAGGACTTTTTAAAATACAAATGTATTCTTTCAGGGACTGCATAAACTGCAGAGACAAATAACCAAGGACTTTAATGTGCTGTCAAGATAGTAAATGCATTAATGAAATAGTGTTGCACAAAACTTCATTTTTTCTAGGGAACATTTAGTTTTGCAAATGCAGATGGATCTCAGTGGTTTAGATTAAATTTGTCATGTTTATGCCTTGTTTAAAAAAAAAAAAATACACCCTGGTTAGTCATACCTCTGTCTCTGTACTCTTTCTGGACAAAAACCAAACCTGCATTGGCTCTTTTTTACCCTTCATAGAAACTGGACCCCTGTACTCCAGATGGAACTGAGGATCTGAATTTTCTGGTGTCATAAGACACCTGAAATTGAAAGAGAAAACATGTAAATGTATGTACTATGCATGCACACCATGCACTATATAGAATATTAAACATGCTACAGATATTGAGCAAATTGACAAAAGAGTCAAATCTATCTCTAGATCATTATCGTATCTGCATACCAATAATGGTATATCCTAATGCAGTCTGCCATACAGTTTCATGAGAACTCATTTACTTAAATAATGTGTTGCAGGAGTCCTGTCACTTTCAATTCCAAAGACACTTTGATGTTATGCTGACAAAGTGGTTTCTTTTAAGATGTCAACACCAATAAAAATACTGCATTACTTACCTGTAAGTATATTCAGAGACATTGATCTTTCCCTTTTGTCCAGTAGTTTCTGTTCTGCTTGTTAGATTGACAGTATTTCCAAAGAGACAGTAACGTGGCATCCTTTGGCCTATGACACCTGTGACTACCTCACCAGTATGGATTCCTATTGTTATCTTTAGAGAGAAAAAATAAAGTTTGAATATTCAAAATCAATCAAAGTAACTAATCTGATGCTTCTGACTAAATACAGGTATTATGCCATTTCTGTCTACTAGACTTCAGTTTTTCAGTGTGCCACTCCTGCTTCTTCAAAGCCTTGCATTTTGTGTCACTTTTTTTTTTTTTAATTTGTGCAGTGTCATGGCTCTGCTTCCCACATTAAAGAACAAAATCCATATTTTTCCAGCATACACCATGCCATGCTGCTATTATGTACTGTGAAATTAAAAAAAGGGAAAGA